GCGGGGCGCGAGTGGCGGAGGGGACGCTGGCGAGAGAGCGGGGGGCCGGGGGGGATGTGGTGGGAGCGAAGCGCCAGTGGGGCGGGGCGCCGGCGAGAGACGGGGGTGTGCTCCGGTGGGGGCGGGACGCCAGTGAGGGAGGGGGCTCGGGGGGGGCTCTGGTGGGGGTGGGACGCCAGTGGCGGGGGGTGGTGCCCGTGAGGGAGGAGCCCCGGGAGCGCTCTGGCCCTGAGGCGCTGTGGGACGCGAGCGGATACTCCTGAGCTCGGCCGAGCCTGTCACCAGTCTGGGGCTCGTGCAGTCTGTCTTTCATGCCGATTTCTTTGTGGATGTATCTTATTAACATGCATACGTGTCATAACTGAATTACACAAAAGACATTTTGCCGCGAATGTGTCACGTATGTCGTTGGTCAGTACGACTTGTCACCGTCACTGAAGTTCTCGTAGTTAAGGCATCGTGGATTCTTCAGTGGTGCGTTTGTTGAAGAATAACAAATGACTGGAATATTTTTACTTAGTGACTGCTGGTTCTTTGGCCCTTCTCACGTTGAGGGTCGTTCTTAAACCTTAACCCTGATTTTCTCTGCGTTAGGTTGGTCGTATCTGGACGTTGATTCTTGCGTGAATGGCGGATGCTCATTGAGGCGTTGAGGTAAGTCTTCAGTTGAGTCTTCCTCGAAAAACTTACCATATTCATTTCTATTTTCTTCCTTAGGAAGAGCAGGGAAAAGAGGCTACTTAGCCACATGATGGCTTGGACTTGTTTAGATCCATTTATTTTGAGTTAAAAACTGAACTGTTGCTGTATGAAATATATAATGTATTTTAAACCACTTTGTTTTTGGAAAAAATAAGATTTTCTTGTTTTAGGTTTTCATTATTGTTGCAGTATTGTAAATAATCCCCTAATTGTTTATTTTGCTTCTCTTTATCTTCACCAGACATTTCAGCTGTAACTATCTCTGGGGTAGATAGTTCCCAAATATCATGTGATATTTATCTATATTGTCCTTTTAAAAATATAGTCGCCTTTCTTTGTGGTCTAATACTTGTTTTTTTCCTCCCCCAGGAGATATCGTTATAGATCCTAAAAATATTTTTTCCCCTTCTCTATGGACTTAACATAAAATTAGTTTTGTTTGTATTTGGATTTATTTTTTAAATATTAACACTGTAAAACCATATCAGTTACAAAATATCTGGGTAAACCATGAGTTGTGGAAAAGAGTTTGTGGAAACATTAAAAAAAATTGATTATCCCAAAGCTGATATTCTTAATGGGGAAGATTTTGACTGGTTATTTGAGACTGTTGAAGATGAATCATTTTTGAAGTGGTTTTGTGGGAATGTGAATGAACAGAACATATTGTCTGAAGAAGAATTGGAAGCTTTTAGCATTCTTCAAAAATCAGGCAAGCCCATCCTAGAAGGAGCAGCATTGGATGAAGTTCTTAAAACCTGTAAAACTTCTGATTTGAAGACACCTATCCTGGATGACAAAGAGCTAGAGAAGTTAGAGGATGAGATTCAAACTCTGCAGAAATTAAAGAACCTAAAAATTCAGCGACGTAATAAATGCCAGTTGATGGCTTCAGTAACTAGCCACAAGTCTCTGAGGTTAAATGTTAAAGAAGCAGCAGCCACTAAAAAGCTGAAGCAGAGTCAAGGAATTGTAAATGCTATGAATACTAAGATCGGTAATGAACTTCAGGCTCTTACTGATGGAGTTACAAAATTGATGATGTTCTTCAGACATTCTGATTTGGGTCAAGGGAAATATCCACTGGTGTTTTTATCTCAGTTTTCCTTGGAAAAATATCTAAGCCAAGAAGAGCAAAGCACAGCAGCATTAACCTTGTATACCAAAAAACAGTTCTTTCAGGGTATACATGAAGTAGTTGAAAGTTCAAATGAAGAAAATTTTCAACTTGTAGATATACAGTCACCATCTATTTGTGATAATCAAGAAATCCTTGAGGAGAGACGGCTAGAGATGGCTAGGCTGCAGCTAGCATACATTTGTGCTCAACATCAGTTAATTCACTTGAAAGCAAGTAATTTGAGCATGAAGTCAAGTATAAAATGGGCAGAGGAGAATCTTCATAGCCTCACTAGCAAGGTAAACGTAAGAAATGAGACTGGATTCATATTGTAATTGTTAGTAATAGAGAATATAATATTGATATTAAAGTACTTTAGAAAGGGGGATGTAATAACTACTTAGATTTCTTGTTTTCTGTTTGTTCACCGCTTAGCTGTGGTGTGTCAGTGTTTCATACAAATAGATCCTCGTTTGAGTGGAGGGCAGAAATAGTAATTATAACCCCAACCACATTATCTAGCTAATTTTAAGCAGAAGTACTTTCGCGTTCTGAATTTGAAATTTATGTTGGTTCGGATACAGATGACACTGAAATTTCCTTTTTTATGATGTATGGGTAAAGAGCCTTATTGCTGTATTATGCATATTCTGCCTTGTTTGCTCTGACTGGAGCATGGTGCTAATGAAGTCAGAGATCTAGTTCAGTGGACTGGAACCCTGATTCTTTGTTGAGAATTTATAGATGTATTGCAGAATATCCATCTGCACTCTTGGAAAGCTTGCTTTCTTGGTAACCTAACCACTAGATAGTTGAGTAAAAATACAACCTTTCTGAAACTGAATACAGCACCAAGTTAGTTTCTGTAACTGACATGAACTTTGGAATAGTGTATGAAGTCCTGTCATTGTGTAGAAGTGCTAAAATCAGCTACTGAGATTTTTTAATTTTAAGAAAAACTTAAGCATACATTTGCATTCATTGAGTAGTGTGCTAATAATTTTTATTGAGTAAGACAAGCATGACAAAATCTGTGTTTTGGTAGCCATTACTGTATATGTATTGTAGTAATAGCATTAAGATTTAGCACTTCATACTGGTTTTACTCTTAGCTTAGTATATACTTTCCTTTTTAAACTCTGATTTTGGCTTTTGATAATATGAAATTAGTTTTTATTAGTGAACATATTATCTGATAACCTAAAATGGAAAGTGAAAATAATTTTAAAACTATTTCAACTTTATACTTACAATTTGAAATATAATTGCTTTCTTTGTGTAGGCTCTTGGCAAAGATAATTTGGATGCTAGAATTTCTGGTTTGAACAGTGAGATTCTGAAACTTGAAGAACAAATCACTCATATAAAAGACAAAAGTTTGCCTGCTGTGGTAAAAGAGAATGCCCAGTTATTGAATATGCCAGTTGTAAAGGGAGATTTTGAGCTGCAGATTGCTAAGCAAGACTATTATACAGCGAGACAAGAGTTAGTTTTAAATCAGTTGATAAAACAAAAGGCATCATTTGAACTTCTACAGTTATCATATGAAATTGAATTAAGAAAGCATTGGGACGTATATCGTCAACTTGAAAATTTGGTTCAAGAACTTAGTCAAAGTAATATGATGCTCCACCAGCGATTAGAAATGCTAACAGACCCATCAGTATCTCAGCAGATAAATCCAAGGAACACCATTGATACCAAGGATTATTCTACTCATAGGTATGCTCCATTGTTTCTTTAGTGAATAATTATTTTTCCTTTTGTTTGTTGTAAAATATTAGAGACGAGTTTGAACTAAAATTGTGGAAATTTAAAAAAATTCTTTGCACTCCAATTTTGACCTGTCTATTCTCTTCTTCCACTTTTCTTTCATATGCCTCTTTTTCCTTTTTAATTTTTTGCTCTCTTTTCCATTTACGTTAAATCTGGAAGTAGCTACTTTAGACCTGAGGATGGGTTGGAGGAATAAATATACACAGGTCTTATTCACCTTTAGGCACCACTATTTAGATGCTTTCTTTTAGATTTGGGGCAGGAGTTTGAATATAGCTTGATGTACAGTAGGTAGATATTGCTGGGCAGAGAATTGACTGTATTTGGAGAAGGTGGCCATAGAGAGTGGAGAAGACTTCATTTCCATGTCTGGTCAGGTGAATCAGTGAGAATGAATGCTAGCTCCCATCCTTTTCTGGATGTCTAAGCAATTGATGGTATGGGGGTACTGAAATTAGAGGGCTAAAGTAGTCAAGGCCTCAAAAATCTGGATCCTACGTGTGGTTTTTCTTGAGGACTAGAAGAAAATCATCTAATCCTTTTATTATTAATGAAATGAGGGGGATGGATAGGGCTGCCTCCTTGCACGATTTCAGAGGGTGGCATTGACGTCATGATCCATGTGAATGGTGCCCCCTGGAATTGTGTGTCACATCCCATAAGAGCAAAATTGGCAGCCTTGGGCTTGAACCAGTTTTATGAAATCTGTTGCAACTTGTTAATATAATTAAAATAATATCTATCTTTTAATTCTGAGAAAAAGAGCAGACCCTTTTTGTCAGGTATTTGTAGAAGGTGCTGCCTCACATTTTTCCATTTGCCCTGTAGGATTTTTCTGCCATTAATGTTTGAAGTGTTAAAGTGGCCTCATGGCTCATCAGGAATTTAATTTGTCAACCAAATATGGACAAGACTGGAGTAGCAAGTTTACTATTACTATTTATGTAGCTCTTTATTGTTTACTCTTTTTACATTTTACAGTTTATATTTTCAATTTTTCTCTTTTAAATCTACCACAATCCTTTAAAATAGATAGGTTATTAAGATGTGAAAATTAAATTTCAGAGGTTAGTGACCTAGGTTTCACATAACAGCCAGAACTCAGACCTAGGTCTTCTGTTTCAAGTTCATTTCTATTTCTATGACATCATAGTTGTGTTCTGTGAAAGAAGTGTTTTCTTGGGAGATACCTCTGAAATGTACTTTGTTTGAAGTAGGCTACTGGCAGTTAAAGTCAAAAAAGAATTTTATATCTAAAACTTGGGAGATGGGAAAACTGGGAATTCAGATATAATTAGAATATGTATTTCTGTAATGAGATAGTATTTTAGTTGGAATGTTTTCAGTTGCTTGATTTAGCAGCTGACATTAATATTTTTAAGTTTTTAGCTATCCTCAAAGATGTCCCTATTGGATTTTGAAAACTATACTAACGAGAGTTTTTTCCTATAATTTTTATTTTCACATTTTAGGCTTTATCAACTTTTAGAAGGAGAGAATAAGAAAAAAGAATTGTTTATAACCCATGAAAACCTGGAGGAAGTGGCTGAGAAATTAAAACAGGATGTTTCTTTAGTACAAGATCAGTTGGCAGTATCTGCTCAAGAACATTCTTTCTTTCTATCCAAACTGAATAATGATGTGGACATGCTTTGTGATGCTTTGTATCAAGGAGGAAATCAGCTTTTGCTTAGTGATCAGGTGGGTGCTTGCCACAGTAATTAAAAATGCTTTAAAAATGTTCATTGTAAAGGATACTGAAGAAAATGTTAACATGAGGAAAATATTGCTCTAAATCCCATTGCACTAATATAGAATGTATTTTTTTATATCTTGTAGTTTTTGTTCACATATATATTTTTCAGTTTTGATCAGTGTACATGAAATTTAAAAAATTTATAAAATATTTCAGACTAAAAGAGTATGTAATGTTTATGCTAAGAACTTTTAAAAAAATAATACAACCATCCCTTCATTTTTTTTACCTAGCCTGGCAAATAGGGGATTCCCCTTATATCATAAAATCCTCTGTATGCACTTAGTGAGCATGCTCCTCCTAAGAGCATTCCTCTCCCTTCTTCAAGGAGTAACTACTATGCTTAATTTTATCATTTGCTTGGTTTTATTTATAATTCTATTACATGTATATATTTCTAGATTGTATGTTGTTTAGTTTTGTATGTTTTTGAACATTATATACATGGTATTATATTGGATATATTCTTTAGTAACTTGTTTCTTAATATTCTGATTTTGAGATTCATGTGTGTTGATTTATGTAAAGCTGTAGCTCATTCATAGTTTTCTCTTTTATATAGTTAGTATTCCACTATATCAAATTCCAAAATTTAGTTATCTGTTCTGTTGACAGACATTTAGCTTATTTCCAGTTTTTGCTGTTGTAGATCATACTGCTATAGATAGTCTTGTTGCATGTCTCATAGTTGTGCATGTATGTGTGCTCATGCGCGCACTCTCACTCAGGAGTGGAGTTGCTTGATCACAGGTTCAATTTTACATGGTATATTAAATTGTTTTTCATAGTGATTCTGTCATTATTGTACCAGTAGTGTCTAAGAGATGCTATTTATCCACATCCTTTTCGTCACATAGCATTGTCTGATTTATAAATTTCTCTCAATCTGTGGATGTAAAATAGCATCTCATTCGGGTTGTAACTTGCATTTCCCTGATTATTAGGGAAGTTGAGCCCCCTTTCAGTTATTTACTGGCCGTTCATCTTTTTCTGAGAATTGCTTGTTCTTCTCCTTTGCCTGTTTTTTAGGTTCTTTTTTAAAAAAATCATTTGTAGGAGTTATTTATATATTTCAAATGCCAACCCTTTGTCAGTTATATGTGTTACGTATACTTACTCCCTATTTGTGGCTTGTCTTTTCTTTGTTACTGTTTTTTTGTTTTTGGCTTTTTTTTTAGGATTTTAATTTTGATGTCATTTATCGCTTTTTATGGTTTGCCCTTCTTATATCTTGTTAAGGTTTGTCAACATCATAATGATAGTCCCTTTTACTTTATCTTAAGGTTTTGCTGATCAATTTTAATTCTTTAATCCACCTGGAGTTTAATTTTATGTATGACGTGAGATAGAGTTCTAATTTTATTTTTATTTATTTTTTTTCCTGTGAATACCCAGATTGTCCCATCACCATTTATTGAGGCAAACAAATTTAAAATCACTATCTTTCTGGTGAAGGAGCCTCTTATCATTATGAAATAAATGATCCTTAAATGCTTTTTGCCTTCATGTCTGTTTTGTTAGACACTGTGGACACTACCAGTTCTGAACCTTAAACTAGGTTCAAAGTCTGAGTTTTGGAGGACCCAGGTGATTCTAACCAAGGGCTCTTCCACTTCTGGGCCATCCTGATCTTAAGATTGTTTGTGTCCTTTGGGTTCTTAGCTTATTATGAAGAGGGTCTCCTTTTTGACTTCCCACTTTCTGTGGACCTTGGACTTTTTCTCCCACTCATTTTGTGATTTTTTAAATAGTTCATTTAGCCTTCTATATTTTTTCCTGTGGGAGGATTGATCTGAATAACAAGCCTACCTTTCCTTGGAACAGGAAGGCTTGTGATGGGTTTTTTTAAATACTTTTTTTATTGTGGTAAAATATACAAAATACAGCTTACAATTTTAACCATTTTTAAGTGTACAGTTCAATGGTGTTAAGTACATTCACAGTGTCGTGAAACCATGACCACTATACGTTTCCAGAATTTTTCATCATCCCAGACAGAAACTCTGTACTTGTTAAACAATAACTCCCCACTAACCCCTGGTAACCTCTATTCCACTTTCTGTTTCTATGGATTTGCCTATTCTAGGTACTTCGTATAAGTGAAATCATACAGTATTTGTCCTTTTGTCTTTGGCTTGTCTTACTTAGCAGTGTGATGTCCTTAAGTTTCGTCCATGTTGTAGCATGTGTCAGGATTTTATTTCCTTTTATGGCTGAATAATATTCCATTGTATGTATATACCACATTTTGTTTATCTGTTCATCTGTTGGTGGACACTTGGATTGTTTCCACCTTTTGGCTGTTGTGAATAATGCTGCTGTGAACATTGGTGTACAAGTATCTGAGTCCCTGTTTTCATTTCTTTTTTGTTTGTTTGTTTGTTTGGTGAGGAAGATCAGCCCTGAGCTAACATCTGTTGCTGATCTTCCTCTTTTTGCTCGAGGAGGATTGTCCCTGAGCTAACATCTCTGCCAGTCTTCCTCAATTTTGTATATGGGACGCTGCCACAGCATGGCTTGATTAGTGGTGTGTAGGTCTGTGCTTGGGATCCAAACCTGGAAGCCTGGGCCACCGAAGCGGAGTGTGCGAACTTAACCAGTACACCACCAGGTCACATCCCCCTGTTTTCATTTCTTTTGGGTATATACCTAGGAGGGGAATTGCTGGATCATATAGTAATTCTGTGTTTGATTTTTTGAGGAACTGCCTGACTTGTCCACAGCAACTGCACCATTTTACGTTCCCACCAACAATGCACAAGGTTCCAATTTTTCCATATCCTTGCCTACACTTTTTATTTTTCCTTTTTAAAAAATATGTAGTAGCCATCCTAATGAGTGTGAAGTGATATCTCTGATTACTTTAAAGAATCTATTACTGATTTTGTCTTCTTGATTTATTAGATAATTGTATAAAAAGCTCCTATGATGGTGGATTTGAAAATTTCTCCTTGTAGTTCTGTCAATTTTCTTCTTTATATTTGAGTGTTTTATAAGTTATAACTAAGTTTAAAATTGTGGTGAATTATTATCCTAGTGCATTTAAATTGCAGTGACTTGAACCATTTAACATTACCTAATGACCCTCTTTGTTCCTATTATGCTTTTTGTCTTAATATTCTTTCATCTGATATTAATATTTCTATGCCATCTTTCTTTTGGCTAGTATTTGGAAGGTTTCTTTACTTACGTATCTTTTTTAGTCTTTCTTTTTACTTAGCATTATGAAATAAACATTTTCACTCTAAATAATTTTCTTAATTTTTAGTGTTACAGTATATTGATTGAATTACTGTGTCATAATTTCTGTAACCAGTCCACCATTGTTGGATATTTTGATAGTCTTCATTTTTTTCTTTTGTTTGTTCTTGAACAACATCATGTATATCTTGTGTATATAGCTTTTTGTTGTTGGATACTTTCATTTGGATGAATTCTTGAAAGTAGGATTATTGGGTTTCTTGGGTATACTCATTTTTAGGGGGCCTTTGATACTGTCATATTGCTTTCCAAAGGGGTCGTATGTGTTTACAATGCCACCAGCACTATTTAAATGTCTACTAGACACCATTGATCATATGTTACATCATCATTTTATGAATTGCTAAGAAAGAAAAAACTTTTTCACTTAGACTGACACAATACTCTTTTATTTAGAATTTTTATTTCATACTAATTAGAAGATATCTTTTAGGGGTAGGTAGACATAGATTTTGAGTATATATTAAAAAGGAAAAAATAAACTAAAATGGTTAGGGTATTTCTAAAGCTTCAAACTCAGCATCCAATTCTTCATTATTTGACTCAAAGTTATCTGTGCTTTTCCACACTATACATCAAGAATGTTGGTGATAGCAAAAAAATGAATAACCCAATTAAAAAATAGGCTGAGGACTTGAATAGACATTTCTCCAAAGAAGACACACGAATGGCCAACAGGTGTATGAATAGATGCTCAGTGTCACTAATTATTAGGGAAATGCAAATCAAAACCACAGTGAGATATACCACCTTACACTTGTTAGGATGGCTGTTTTCAAAGAAACAAAGACAACAGGTCTTGGACAATGTGGAAAAATTAGAATCCTTGTGCACTGTTGGTGGGAATGCAAAATGGTGCATCTACTGTGGAAAGCAGTATGGAGGTTCCTCAAAAAATTAAAAAATAGAACTACAATATGATCCAGTAATCCCACTTATGGATACTTAAACAAAAGAATTGAAATCAGGATCTCGAAGAAATATCAGCACTCTCACGTTCATTGCAGCACTTCCTGAATAGCCAAGATGTGAAAACAACTTAAATGTCCATCAGTGGAGGAACAGATAAAGAAAATGTAGTATGGAGCCAGCCCTAATGACCTAGTGGTTTAAAGTTTGGCGTGCTGTGCTTTGGCAGCCCGGGTTTGGTTCCTGGGCACAGAACCACACCACTCATCGGTCAGTAGCCATGCTGTGGTGGCAGCTTGCATAGGAGAGCAAGAAGGACTTGCAACTAAAATGTGCGACTGTGTACTGGGGCTTTGGGGAGAAAAAAAGAGGAAGGTTGGCAACAGATGTTGGCTCAGGGCTAATCTTTCCTAGCAAAAAAAAAAAGAAAAGAAAAGAAAGAGAATGTAGTATATACATACAATGGAATATTATGCAGCTTAAAAAAAAACAAGTCCTTAGCTCAGAGCCGGTCTTCCTCAGCAAAAAGAGGAGGATTAGCATGGATGTTAGCTCAGGGCTGATCTTCCTCACAAAAAAAAAAAAAAA